CATCAGTATTTTTAGGTACTTCTAAACCAATACAACCCCTGCCAGCTAGCCAGCCTTCTTCTCTCTACAAAAAACAGCATCTCTGCCCACAGGTTGGCATCCAGCTTTGGTGAAAGCATCCAATGCATTGCAGTGCTGTCCAGTCTGGTTTGGATGACATTTATCAAAATGCTGGGTTTTCATTCTGTTGATGCTGAGTCAGTTGTTTTGGTGGATAAAGGCAGCAAAAGACAAGATCCAGCTCTGGAAATACCTCCTCATAATGACCAAAATCACAGTTTAATTGTGGGGTTTGAGCTGCAGCTAGAAATATCTGGATTTGGGGCTGTGCTGGTTCTCAAGCCACCCTACACAATAGTAATTAGTTGTTAGGTCTTAATTACTGCTTCTCTCATAGCTCCAGTTCAGCTGTGCTTTCTGGTCACAACCTCTGCTGCCATCCACTTTTGTACCAGGCCAAAATTTTGCCAACTTGGATTTCAGTGCAAAGGCTGCTAAGATATCTGTTGCAGCAGTAGGCATCTAATAACGTCTGACATGAGGTGTGGATGCAATACAAAAGTCTGTGCCTTGTACTGGAGAAATAAGTAATTCACAATGCCTATATGATCTTGAACCTTAGCTGATCACAACCCCTTCAGGTCATGCTAGTTGAGGAACATTGTCAAGCCTCCTTAGATCACACAGGAATGATCTCACTTTGCCAAAAGGTTGGCTGGCCAGCTGCGTCACTTGGATTTGGTCTGCCTTGCCGTCGAGGTCACCACACTCAGCATCCCACTGGACATGCTCTTATCATGTTACAAATTAATTCTTCCATAGGATCATGGAAGATAACATTCAAGAAGACCTCTCAAGGCATTTAGCCCATTGTTGGCTGGTTTCAGTCATCAAGGGGTGGTGATAGCTCAAGAGGATAATGCTTCTGCTAATGCTGGATTATTAGGGAAGCTCTAGAATGACCCATTCGCCTCCAAAAAAATAGTGCAGCAGGGCACCTCCAAGGAAGGGTGTAAACAGAAGCCAGCTTTGTGGCCACAAGCACTGAAGAAGAATTTCAGGGTGATAGCAATCATTTCAGTATCACTCTTACCACTGTTACTCTCTTTAGACAGTGCAATTTCTTTTAGCACTGCTGACAACTAGATTCAGTTTCAGTTCTCTTTTTCTAACTTTTTTTTTTTTTTTTGACCTAAAGAAAAGAAAAGCACATGCCTGGGGAAATGACACAATCCAATTTCTCCTTGTGACCCCACCATCTGAAAAAAAAAAAAAAAGTATTTTAAAAAGTTCATGTATTTACTCAGGATGTTGCAAGGGGCTGTCACAAAGCATCTGTCACTGGAAGGCCAAAAGGGTTTCCAAGTATCTCTGATGTCTTCTTCCGTGGGGTGGGATGTGGAGCTGGGAGGATGCTCTGCATCTGCCAGGAGGGTGCTGTGCAAAATTAGATTTCTCCAGCCATACTGATGGGCTTGGGAACACCTGGGCAAGAGTGGCTGCTGCTGGTGGCAGCTGGTGGCTGGTCCCTGTTTTCTTTTCTCTGGATACATCCCTTTCTTACCCAACATTTAAATTCTGAGAGGTTTTTTAAAAACACCCTATGTCTGTGGGATCTGAGGGTAGAGCAGAGCTTCAGCATTGTTAGTTTCCCATCTGTTAGCAGAAGGACATAGGCTGGTGCAAAGCCATGGGATAAATGGCTGCAAGACCCTTTGATGGGCGTTAATTGTAGGACAGATAGAATAAGCCCTTCACTTTGCTGTACCTCCTTCTATCTGACCATCTTCCCCAAGCGGGGTTACCACCAAGCACTGCCAATCCTGCTGGAAGGGAGGCAGCAGAGATTGCTTTTCTTCTGTCCTTTGGGGCTTCCTATTTAAGTTTAGGTCTCGAGTGGGAGAAAAAGCTCCTCCATGAGAGTCACAACCGAAGGGTTTTACCAGGGGACCCCGAACCTACTCCAAGCCCAGCTGCCCCTGGGCACTCAAGGATGGGGGAGATCAAGAAGAGAAGGTTGGTATTGCCACCATCCCATCCCAGCTCTTCCCATGCCATGTCATCCCATCCCATTCCAGCTCATCTCATCCCATCCTACCCAATCTCATTGTAGAAAAAGTGAACACCTGCATTTAGCCACCTAGAGCTGTTACAAACCAAGACAATCTCCATTAAAACACTCTAGCAGCAAGCAGTTCCCTTGCAAAGCAAACACTCGACCCTGCAATATACCCATTCCTTTTTATTCTTTATTTTTTTGCAGGGTAAAATGGAAACAAACCCCGGAGCTCCCCAGGCACAGGCAGGTGGACGGGTGCTGGCTGCACTTCATACAGCACGCTGCATTGTAAAGGTTTGCCCACAGTTTATTTAATCCCTTGCACGTATCAGACGCATTCCTGAGCCATCAATCAGAGCTGAGTCAGCCAGCGTGACTGGTCTGTGTTTTTTTTAATAGCAATCACAAGTTCTCTTGGTTTGTTTGCTGGCAATGAGGTTGGATTTGCTTTTTTTTTATTATTTTTTTATTTTCCTAACATAATGAAAACGGAACCCAGTGAAATGAGACAGAGTTGACCGTGAGCAGGAAACGTTCCCTGCTGTCAGGGGTAACCTTTAAATCCAGCCTGCCTCAAGGAACGTCTGCCACGGTACAGAATGCATCATGCAGAAAAACAAAGAATTTTTTTAAAAATAATCAGACAAATTAATAATTAAAAGTAATTTTAAAAAAAGAGATGCTGCTGGGATGGTGCTAAACTGTGATTCCCCCCCCTCCCTCCATGACCAGATGGCACTATAAGTCCCTTCCTGTCCTTGCATGCAGAAGGAGAAGCAAAAGCATTTTCTTGCTGAACAGCCTTGACAGCGCTGCCCTGGGAGGTGAAAGCTGTTTCTAAGCTCTTCTTGCAAGGATGAGGTTATTGTGGCTTCAAACAGCCATAACAGGGGATGCAGGAGCAGTGCTGCTGTTATGTCTGTGCCCAGCCTCAGCCCAGCTCTGTATGGGGTGGATGCAAGGCCACGCTCCCTGCCCTAAAACAAGGCAGGAATGTTTTGTCCTCACTCGGGTCAGGGAGGGCAGCAGGTTGCTGGATAGGCAAAACAAAGAAGGTGTTGTGGTTACCAACTTTCTTGGAGAGCGTGAGTCCTCCACGCCTCTGGGATGTTTGCAGGGTGAGCATCACCCCACAGCTCTCAGTGTCTGCATGCAAGCATAGAGAAATGCAGGTACAAATCCATTTTAAAACCCTACAGAATGATGAGGACAAGAGGAGAAGGCAGATGGTCCCTGAGCATCTCAAGCTCTGCTCCAAAAAGACTCCTCCTGCCCCAAAGCCCCAGGGAAGATCAGAGCAGCGCTTGCAGTTGTCAACCAGCCAAATCCACACCTACAAGGTTGTCTTTTTTTTTTTGCCTTCTCACTCCTATTTCAGGGCCACAACTACCCAAAGGGGACAAGCTACTGACGTGGAGAACAACCACCCAAATATGCTTCAGAACATCACATCCAGCTACGCCACTCCCTGCCTCCTCTTCCCAGTAGTGCTTTGGGATCAGAAAACAAAGTAAAATGAAAAATGATATATATATATACATGTGTATGTGTGTGTGTGCACGTAACCTTTTTATGGGGAATCTGGCAATTCAACTTCCACACGGTATCTATCATTTTCCAGCTCTATGGCGAAGACAGCCATGATCCCATAGGACTGCTCTGCTTTGACACAGCAGCACCAAAGCATCATAAGGAGGTGTACCAGGTTTGAATAAATTGCTGCTGAAATTGTCATGTAATCATTTAAGTTGGAAGTGACCACTAAAAGTCATCTAGTCCAGCTCCCCTGCAATCAACAGGGACACCTACAGCTCAGATTGCCCAGAGCTCCATCCAGCCTAACCTCAAGGACAGGGTAACCATCACCTCTCTGAGCAACCTTGGATTCCCTTTTACATCCATCTGGGATGTAGCAGGTAGAGCATGAAGAGTTCTTGCCATAAGTGCACATGAGCACTCAGTTGGATGGATCACACCATCTACTGAGCTCTCCCTGGACCAAATAGAAACCTTCAAATTGCTGCCATGTGATTAAAATGAAAGGGTTAAGCAATGGGATCAGAAGGGCTTTTCTCAGTTGATCTGCAGAAAATGCCCTGGAGGGCTAAGAGGGGTCTACAAGGCACAGGAACAGAGTAATCCCCATATGTACATAGCAGGATTGCATCGGGCACAGTCACCCTTGGGAACACCAAGCTTAAGTTAGAACATGTAACAATTTAGGTTGAAAGAGACCTTAAAAATCAAGCACCAACCCCCTGGCATGGGCTGGTTGCCACACACCAGATCAGGTTGCCCAGGGCCCCATCCAACCTGACCTTGAACACCTCCATGCTATACCCAAAGGCACAAATTTAAAGCAAGGGAATAACCACGTCAAGTCTGTATTTCAACAAGTTATTTTATTGGTCCAGCAACTGCAAAATATACAAATTACTGAAAGGCAGACCCTGTTTAAGCTGGCACAGCTTGATATCAGGCAATTATTCCAGATGTATATACAGAACAGTTAACAGCAGAAATAAAAAAAGAAATCCCAACTACCCTTCTCTCCAAGCTTTGCAGTATACATTAAATAAATAAACAGCGCTTTGCTATTAAAAAAAAAAATCATAAAAAAATAAATTCAAGTATCACAAAAAAAAAAAAAAGGACAGGAAAAAACAAAGGAAAAGGGAGAAAAAAAAATGACCGGTGTGGTTCAACAAATCCATCTTCACACCTTCCCTCCCTTCATGGCTGCAGCATCATTGCCTGGGCTTTGGTTGTCCAGCCAAAACACAACAGAAAGCATGACAGAATGGGATGGAGATGACATCCTGCCACCCACTCCCACCATGAGAGGAACACTTTGCTACTCATGGGCCAACTTCACCTCTTGAAGAAGGGAGAAAAAATATATATATATAAAAAAAAGGCCTACCAACTTCAATATTTCATCTTCTTGTAGGACCAAGACTTCTATTTCCAGAGAAGAAATTGTTCGGGTTTATTGTTGGGTTTGGGTTTATTGTTTTTCTTGCAGACTTTTATGTATATGTATGTATGTATCCATAGACACGCATTCAAGTACACACCAAACATGTTTACAGGATTAATCACGGGCAGCCAGACATCATGGTTGCGTGTGCTGGCTTATCTTTGGGTAGCAGGAGGAGACAGATCAGCTCCCCAGGAAACGGGCTGAGAAGGCAGCAAAGTCACCTTCCCCCAATGTCTGTCCTTCTCAAAGGCAGAGAAACTAAAAGGGCTGACATCAACTGCAAGCACACAAGTCTGCGTTAATGCAGTTATTGCAAATCCAAAAAAAAAAAAGGGGGAAATAAGTGTTTTAGTTTCATCTGTACAATATACACATATGGACACGCTCATACAGGGCACCACCAGGATGGTTGGATAGGGACCACTGTAGTCCCTGAGCCTTCCCTGCTGTCGGTACTGCTCCGAGCCTATGCAATGTGGTTTTGTTGCATGGGACTGAAGCACTAGGCACTGTGGTTCACCTTTTCTCACAGGACAAAGGGACTGACTCCCCCCTCCCCCTGAAACCAAAATAAAATAGTAATTAAAAAAAAACACTCACAACAATAGGAAAAAAACCCACTTTCCCCACAAACCTCTCCGCTCCCATCTGCAGGGATGTTGTTTCCTACTAAGGAAAGAGGAGGAAGCCACAGAAAGGATTAAAGCATAGGGCTGCTCATCTCCAACCCTCCAGTGTTGGAGGAAGACCCTGATGACTTTGCCTCCTCTACCTCCACAGTTCAGCTGTGGAAGTAGGAAAGAAAAAAAAAAAAATGGGAACAGAGAGATGCTGAACACAGGAGGGGATTGGGGGGAAAACCACAGATTTTTGCACAATGCAGTAGTGGTTAATTGCTACAGTCAACTGCTGGCTCACAGCCTGCATCAAAAAGCTCTCATCTCCAGCCTCCAAGAGTTGGCCAATGGAGCCCAAGCCAGGACTGTGTCCATTGCCCCCTGCACACACACACACACACGCAAACACCCCTCTTGGAAGCCATAGCGACTGCTTTTGTGCAATCCCAGCTTCCAGCATGCAAAAAAAAATTTAAAAAAAAAAAAAAATTGCCTGTATTCAAGCTTCCCCTGTTAAGAGGCACAAGTTAAAAAAAAAAAAAAAAAAGAAATATAGTCATGCTTCTGCCACAAATAAAGTGCAAAAACCAAGCGGTTTCTAAAGTATAAACATATACCCACACACACACACACACACACACACCTGTGTGCATGTGTATATATATATTAAAGAAGAACAGCAACAAAAAATTCTCTTCTTGAGACTTCTCATCAACACCCTTCCTGCATTCTGGCCAAGTGTGTCTGCAAAAATGCACCCAGTGCAGCTGCCCACCTATGGCCTGCAGTGATGCACGGACACAACCACCCCATCTCCTCCTTCCTCCAATGCAGAGCATCCCCAAGAGCCAACGTCAGCATGGTTCCCCTCAATATTACAAGCAGCTCATATAGTCAACTTCACAGCAGCACACTGACCTTCTCTGCAACCCCCCTTTGAGATGCATCAATTAACATGAGGGTTTTATTATTATTATTATTATTTTTGGCTAAAACCAGCAGTTTTCATGTATCTCCATGAGCTGGGCTGTGCACATGGCAGGCTGTAGCTGGTGTGGGACTGCAGCACAGCACATTAAGGGCTTTCTTGCAAAAAAAAAAAAAAAAGTTAGTAATACTTATAAAATAATAATAATAATAATAGAAAAAAAAAAATCAAAATTCCCCCTTTGTTCCCTCCCTCCCTTCTTGTCCCCATTACTCTGCTAACCCCGCACCATTCACATATATACACACACTCCACCCGAAGATGGATGGGTACCATTAGTCTATACAAAAAGAGCTCAAAACCACTTAGAGAAGGAAAAATTAGAACTTGGAAACTCCTGTGCGCTACAAGCGCTTCCCAGCTTGCTACACACTAGCAGGACACCGGAGAGGAGAGCAACGCTGCAGCCTGAAGATCTGGGAGTTCGTCTCCTTCCTCTCCATCGCTCTCCCACCTCTCTCCCCCCTCCAGTAGAGCAGTTTGCAGATGAACAGGCGTGGGTAGAAACAGCCGAGGGTCGACCTCGCCACAAATGGAGGAGACCTGTTTTACAAGCAAGCTTCAGAAATGATGATGGGATGGGAGCTGGCGTCGCTGGTGGCCTCGCGACAGCACTGAGGGTCTCACGACGGCTTCTGCGAGTTGTTCATGTTCTGCAACGAGAGGGGAAGGAGCACGGTTGAGGTCATGCCTGGAGCATCTTCAATGTGCACACTGAGAAAGGGACGGGGGTACAACGCTACAACATGGGTCACCACTAAGAAAGCATCTATCTACCACAGAGGGAGAAGACGTTGTCCACTCAAGGAGAGAGGTGAGGGAGACACACTGACTTGCTGCCTGAGCCCCTCCTTTGAGCATCACCCATCCACAGGGTGGGAATCTGGCAAAGGTAGGCCTGAAAACTGAACTGCTCTTTTGTCCATGCAAGAGAAGATGGTGGGACACTGTAAGAGCCCAATTAAGTATATCTCTTGCTTCCCTCAAGGGTGGGCAGTATCCCCACATCTGCTAGGTGGAAGTCACTGTTAGTCCATCCTCTGCACTGCCCTCCTGCAGAACCACCTCCAGCCAGTGCAGTGATGGCCTGGAGGACCTAGCATGGAAATCAGCCACCATCAGTGGTGCAGCTGAAGCCAACATTCACCTGTAACATTTCAAGGTATCTAGAATGGCTTCAAGCACAGCCCTGGTGCCATCAGCGTCAAGAAGAGACATCTGCTAGTGCACAGCAAGTAGCAAGGACCACAAATCCAGGGACAACCAGCTGAACACCAGCAGGAACAGCTCCCAGAAGTGATGACTATAGGAAAGCATCAGAGAAACCCAAGGAGCAATGACCACAACAAGGACGTTTCTCACATCACAAAACTATACAAAAAAAGGCTGGGGGGAGGGGAAGGGACTAGGAAACAGCTAGGAAGGCTTCTCAACCTATTTTTAATCTTTTACAACCTAACCTGTCTCTTACAAGCACCAGGAGCCATGGCCATGCCACAAGACAGCACTATTCTGCAGTAGCTAAAGAGACAGGACAAGGGTTAGGAAAAGCCACATGCACCCACAGCTATTTACCTTGGAAATATTAGTAAAGAGAAAACTTTGAGAAAGTGACAAACAGGTCGTCTTTAAGCATGAAAAGTGAAAGGGGAGAAGAAGGGAAGGGAAAGGAGAAACTTTAAGTCGGGTTGTTGTTACAAAGTGCATTTTGGATCACAAACCAAGCAAAAGGAAAAGAAACCATCACATCACTCCATCCCGCAAACCCAAACCAGTCCAGGGGCACACAGTTATGTCCCTGGGCTCTCCAGGTATCCCCTGAATGGGGTCAAGCCCCCATTGGGATGATTGACACAGCAATGCTGCTGCTGTAAACCAACTCCAGCAATGCAAACAGGGGACGGAGGGAACCTCCTCCTCCTCCCCTGACCCTATATGGGTTGTGGTGGGACACAGTGAGGGACTGGATGCACAAAGTGAAGGGACAGAGGTGAAGGTCCCTCACAAGCCAAATGCTTAGTGGCATCTTCTTGGTTCCCTCAAAAGCAAATCCTAAGTCCCACAGTAGTAGGTGGAAGCAGACTCCCAGTACTGGAGAGCTTTAGCTCACTGCGTCCAGCCTACAGCTGGGATAGGAAGACATCACCACCTGCTCCCCCAGAGCTCTTGGTGTAGCACAACCTGATGCAAATCTCCTAAATTCAACATCAGTGTGGTTTTTCTTTGTGTCCCAGCCAGCGCGCAATACTTTTTATTGTAACGTAGATGGGAAAAAGCTAAATGGAGGGATGTACAAAAAGAAAGTCACTCTCAAAGCAACCAGACCAGAAACTTCATCGAGAAAGAGCATAGACATGCACACCATGGTGAGCAGCTCAATATTCATTCAGGAGCATCAGCATGCTCTTCCCAACCCATCAACAAAGCCAACTTCTCTACCATCCACTTTGGGAAAATGGGAATAAATGTGAAGTTCACCAGCTGTTACACACAAGCAAAGCCAGTTTATAACAACTCTTCCAATCTTGATCTCATAGAATGAACCTGGACAAGGATGGAGGTGAGCTGATTGCTCTATAAAGGACATAGACACACAGGTACTGTCGCAGCTGAACTCTTAAGTCTTCTCAAATATCTCCCTAGTTTTTGAGAACTCCTTCTCTAATGACTGATGCTCTCTTTATTCAGTGAGGTAACATGAAATGAGTTCAAAGGTTTCAATTTATCCAGAACCGTATTGTCCCTATTACACAGTAATTTAATAGCACTGTCAAAACCTCAGTCAATCATAAGTAATGCATTAAAGGCTCAAAGCATCTTGCCTATAGAGCTAGGTCAAGGCATCCTTGTGTCTAAAATGCCCAAGACTAATGGGAAGACTAATCCCAAAATTAACATCTGCAGAACTACAGATGTGGGATCATCCAATCATCCCACATTACATTTCAGAATTACATTTCAGTTCCCACACAGGTGATAAAACCCTGTCAGAAGCTGAGGTCAGAACCTTATCTGGAAATCTTTAGTGGCATTGCTCAGGCATAACTCAAGAGTCCACAAGACAGGCAGACCATTTGGTCTATCACCTGTGAAGTGCTACCATAGAAAACTCAAAGAAAATCCAAGGGTATCTCCAACTACTCAATGAGAAAGCAGGAATTCAGACAGCATGTGCAGACAGCATCCTGATGTAGTAATTTGTTCTGTTTCCCAACAGAATTTGGGCACTTAATCAAGATAGGATACTTAGGGGTTGGACAAAGCAGCATTCATAGCCTCCTCTTTGTAATTCTTAAGACGCACCCAATTCCCACCCCAACACACAAATATTCAGTCCAAGAAAACCGTGCCCAGCAAGGTTTCACAGCAACAGTGGGACAGTGAGAAACAGGGGAAGAGGGAAGGAAGAGAATAAGACGCAAGAAGGTACTTACAGGCATGCCTTTCCTAGTAAAGGCTGTAGAGAGACAGAAGGGAAAGAGAGGTGTCAGTAATGCCGCGTGAGACAGGGCAGGGAACACGGAATAGCAGCAAGGGGCACCTGGACACCAAACACTTTCAGACCCTGAAGCCAGGACAGGGTTTGTTGTTAAGACTTGAGCATCCCAAAGCCAAGCCCCAAAAGCCAAGAAACTGAGGAACTGATCCACTCAGTGCTGCACGGGGTGGAAAGGTTCATGCAAAGAAATGAAGCAGAGCAGTTAGAGGGGAGCCAGGGGGCACGTCACACTAATCCTGGCAAAGGAGGGATTGGGGACAACACAGACAAGGCAAAGAAGGAGCAGACAAGACAAGATCCAACAAGCAGCACAATATGAGGCTCATGTACATATATGGCTGCTCCTCTGGTTCAACCCATGCTTCTTCGCTAAGGGATGGGGCTTTTGTTTCTGGGAACCCTGTCCCAAGCAAGGGCTCTCCTTCTCCATCTCTTCACAAGTGAAAGAAGAGATAACATACAAGCAACATAGCAGGGGAGGATCAGGTTGGGTATTAGGAAACCCTTATTTTCAGAAACAGTGGTGAGGTATTGGAACAGCCTGCCCAGGGAAGTGGTATAGTCACCATTCCTGGAAGGTTCCAAGAAAAGGGGAGATGTTTTACTGAGTGACATAGACAGGAATGGGTTCATGGTTGGACTAGCTGATCTTAGTGGTCTTTCCAACTTTAATGATTCTATAAATCCCTCGGTCTCCACCCAGAGCTGCAGAAGGCAGCTAATGCACAGGGCACAGGTGAACTCCCAAAACTGGCTTCTACTCAGTTTTGGTCCATTTTGCCTATTCCTCTGGGAATAGAGAACTGCAGGCAAAAATGGGTAATAATGGTAATTTTCTCAGTGGAAGCCCAAGAACATTTGTGTTACTGCAATGCCCAGGTCTACAGTGGAGCAAATGCACTGGGGGAGGAGGTAGGCATGAACCCTTTGGCTTTGCCTGCTTAGCCAACAGGCTCTCACATGGACATGGTTGTGGGGACTCTGCGCTGGATGATGCTGGCTTGACAAGGGGATAGACCAGCCCAACCCCAAACATTCCACAATGTCAGATGGAAACACCGAGTCAAATTCCTAGATCAGCTGCTTGATTCAACCCACAGCTTTGGGTTGACCAAATGACTGAGAGCCAACTATCACTGGCTGCTTCCAAAAACCAACCTAACGTAGAGATTGGGACACAGCACCCACGGGAGAAGCGCAGACAGAGCATCTCAGAGCCAGCAGCACAAGGTGCAACAAGTGCAAGCCGTTCTCAGCTTCAGGAGCGACAGGAGGAAGACAACAAACAAACAAACAAGAATGACAACCAAAAAAAAAAAAAAACAAAAAAACCCAAAAACAAAAAGTTCAACTAACTTGTCCCGGCAGCTGCGTGGGCACTTCCTGAGGAACACAGCCTGGCAGGGCGGAAGAAACAGCCACATGCTCCTCAAAGCTGTTGATGCGAGGCTTTTTGATGGGCTCTGGGCTTGCTAGAGGGGTAACGCTATTACGTCTCATGAGCGGGTTAGGTCCCTTCTTTGCTTCCTAAATTAGAGTGAGACAAAGAAAAAAAGTAAATAAAAATAAATTAAAAAAAAAAAATAAATGAAAAGGGAAGAAGGCGACAGTTATAAAGAAAAAAAAAGCAAGTTGTTTCTTTCCTTAAAGCAGCCTCTGCTTTTTCCCCCCCCACAATTGCTTTCGATGTGCAAAGGATTAGTTGGATGCAATGAAATGCTCTGGACGCCAAAAAAAGAGAAACTGATACAAAATGATTGAGAACATAATATGATTTCCCAAGAAAGGGAGGAAAAATAAAAAAAAAAAGGAGCCCTGCGCTCAGAAACAAGATAGAGTTTCTCCACACACGAGCCTTAAATCACAAAAAAGTAAAACGTGCATTACTACCAAGTATAGCAGTAACCAACAGCCACCACTTAGCACAACAGAGCGGTGCCCATCGCTCTGCTCCTCAAAGCTGGTCCCTCTGACTGTGAAAGCAGGAAGAGGAAAGACGAGCGAACCCGAGTGGATAAGAAAGGATGGGGAAGTGGGACAGAGCAGCCAGCAAGGGTCAGCACAGCACCAAGCTCCAACTCAAGGCACGTGAGATGGATGGAGGGCAGTGCCCTTACAGCCAAGCAGAGGAACCCAAGCGCTTTTGCACATGCTTCGCTCCATCGTAACTGAGCCCCACAGTCACTCCTGACAATGGTGATGCAAGGGCATCAATGGCCCTGATGCTATGGGAAAGTGATCAGCTTTTCCTACACTGTGAGGTCAAGGAGCAAAGAAAATGTGTGGTCCAAAAGGGGATGGATGAGACCATCCAAAACCCATCACCACAAGCTGGAAAGGTTGGGACGCAGGGCTCCCCTTGAGTGACCATCCAGCCCCACCACCAAGCTGGCATCCCCTTGCTCTGGCCTCTGAGCTCCTGGTGGAGCACACGTAGTCAGGTCTGGAGTTTTTCCCCTCTGTGCAAGGGGTGTTTCTCCCCTGGTAATCCACCACGCTACATAACAGCTTTCTGGTAGCCTCACAGGCACACCAGGAAAAACCACACAGGCAGATGCTGGCCAAGTCACCAAGCGTGGGCTCTGCCAGCCAGCTGAGACACCTGAGAGAAGTCACCTTCTCCATCCACAGCTCTATTCCTCTATCGGGCAAGTGGACGACCACAAAGGCAAAAGTCAGAGACTGGCTGACCTTTCCCTTGGTCAGCTTTAAACTAGGTAGCAGGCACATGCAAGAGTCTTCTTCCCTTGGAATACCCTCAGTCAGCCACATCTATGCAGAGCAAGAACCCAAGTGATGCTCCCAATCCTACAGTGGCACTTTGAGCACTGGGCTGAGCAATCTCCTCAGTCATTCTCCGTGCTGGGTTACCACAGGGGAAACGAAGGAACACCCAAGGGATGGCTTAGAGGGAAAGAAACACTTACCTCTGGCCGCTCCCTGTGAGTGTTCACAGCTTCAATATTCAGGGAGATGGATTCCACACGGCAGCCTGCAGAAGGAAGCACAGAGATAAAGAGGCTATCAGCAAACCTAACAGAAGGTGTCACAAGCTGCTCCATCCCAGACCTCTGCCCACGTCCCAGAAGCTTGGATTTAGGAGGAGGTGCAAGTTGAACACCTCAGCACATCGATAAGTAGCATTCCCACTCACCATAAGCCACTGGGGTCAACTTCAGTACCGTGTGAAGAGGACATTTCAGGTAGGGCATTTCATCTGCAGAGAAATGCAAAGCAAGATTAACCCCACCTTCTCTAAAAACCATCTTCCTCAGCACCTAAACCCATCCCATACCAAAGAGATGCATACTCCAAGCCCTGCGTGGACACAAGAACATCTCATCTCCTCCAAGCTACACCCCTCCTCCAACAGCATCCACCTCCTGCCCGGGGACAGGGAGCTCACCTGCACTCTTGTCCAGAAAGTAAGCAAGGAGGCAGCGCATGACAGCCTGGTGACAGATCACAAGGACATTCTCTTGTCTCTCCAGCTCCATGATGACTGGCTCCAGGCGCTGCACCAGGTCTTGGTAGGACTGAAACAGAAGAACAGGGAGATGGGCATAGAGTCAAGAGGACAAGGACCTCACAAGAAACAGTTATCATTGTCTTGGTCTAAGTACTGATTTCATGCTTCTATAAACCAACGTGATTACTGATAAAGATGAGTAAATTTAACAGTGCTTCAACTCGGCTACTCTAGAACATAGCTACTAATCAGAGAAAGAAATAAACCATTTATGTCTCAATTACATCCCTGAAGAGTTTATTGAGGTAAGCTGTAACTGCACAGAGGATTTGAGATTACTGTCTCTGTTGTCTCAAGTTTATTTTTCTTTTCTGTGGGTTTTTAAGTTCTACAGTATGAAGCACCCTGAAAATCTCTAAGATTTCAAGAAGTTTCATGAAGGGCTGTTTAAAGCCAATGTCAGTCACTCTCAAACACCCACCTCTAGTCCTGCTGTCATTAGACTAAATATTTATTGTTTCCAAGTGTCTATGGACATGATTTTTTAATTTGGGACTAAATAAGTCAGTACACAGCCAAAATTACCTTCTAGGACTGACGTAAATTCCCACCTCCACATGTCACACCTTGAAAGCAGATAGTGTTCCCCAAGCCAGGGACAAACAGAGATATCAACATCAACCCACAGCAAGTGACGCAGAGAGCAGAGGATGAAATTACTACTTTAGAAATGAAACAAAGGGAAAAACCTGGGCAGCACAACACTGAGTGAACCTAATGGAGAGGATGGACTAGCAAAAAAAATGGGAACGCTTGCTTTTCTTCTACTCTCCTATTCCAGGTATAGGTAAGAGCCATTAAAACAAAAAGGCCATATTCAAGTATGAGCCACATCTCCAAAGGTCTCCTACCTCTCCAGAAGGATAACGGTAGTAATATTTATCCTGATCACGTAAAGCAAATTCCTCTGGATGCTGGTCCCTGATTTCTTCATAAGTCATTTCTTCACACACACCCTGAATGAAGAGGATAGCCATGAGGTTACTGGCCATGCTAAAAAGAATTGCCACACCAAACACACACACCCTTCTCCAATGCTGAGGGATCAGAGATATAGAGCAGTTTCATGGAAAAGTCACCTTAATCTACTTATTCAAGCCAACATCTTGTACATTTTGTATATGGTACAGGTAAAATCACAAGCCAAAATTTGAGTGCTACATCAGAAAGAGTACACAATTCCCCATAGAAGGGAAAACTTCCTACAGGAGATGAGACTTAGGCAAGACTGAAAAAAAGCCAGTACCATCACCTGCTACTGCAATCAAAGCTACTTACAGCATCTATTTCATTGAGGGCCTTCCACTGCTCATAGGGCAGCTGAAGTGCTTCTGCTGTTTGGATTGTTCTCTTCAGTTGGCTAGTCCAGACTTTGAGGTCCTTCAGGTTCTGCTCCTCAACAAACTTGTTCAGTGCCTGTGCAAACTGCAGGACAGAGAAGAGGTTGATTCCTGATCAGAATGGGATCCCATTCAGCTTCCCAATGAGTTTTCCTCCCTGCTTCCTAGTAAACATTCCCTTCTCCAGGTTCTCTTCTCTCTTCCATGGCAGATGTATTGGCCTTCTGTTCTAAGGTGGGGAACAGCCTCACATCTGTGATTCCCAAAAAGCTACAAAGGAGTATGAGAACAACGAACAGAAGAAGAGAAAGCTGCAACCTTATGTAATCAAGGGGCAGCAGCAACATCCAGGAAACCATGTCACAACCTGGACTCTCCTATAATGTGAAATATCCCACACCATCCTTAACCTCAGCTCTGTTTATTTGTCAAGGACTACGTAAACATCAGTTAACTCTGACAAGTCACACCTCAAGTGAGTGAGTCCACTTGGACTTCAAAATGGCAACGGAAAGCCAAAATAAATATTAGCCTTCCATGTACCAGCTCTCTTGATCAGTCCTTGAAGAAACAATTACTGAGTGAACTGAGCTCTTAACTATTATCTAAGAGGGTTTTTTGAGGCCATGCTTGAGCCAAAATTTGACAAGCCCTATAGATGGATCTTCAGATCATCCCAGCTGGCATTGCATATACACTCAGCCCAACAAATGGCATCTCCTACAGCCAAATCCCAGGGAAATATTCCTCTCCTCCTTACCTTCTTGCCCCTGTTGGAGAGGCCTGAGTCACCTCCAATCTTCCCCTTGAGGTTGAACTCGCTCTCACCGTGCCGACAGAGATAAATGGTGCGGGGCTGGACATGGATGTTCATTAGGTAGTAAACAATCCTGCTTTGGATGTGATCCTGAACCCTGTTGACCAGGAACCGCCGGCCAACATCGATGACTTTGATGAGAGAAAGCTCCCTAGGGAAAACACAGCAAGGATGAGGGGTGGAGCAGGTATCATTGGAAATAGTAAAAAGGAAAACCATCACTCCACAAAACAGCCTTGTAAGGTATCTCAGTCAATATAATCACTCAGCTAAAAGGATTTCCTGCAGGCTATTTTCAACAGGAAGTTGGTAGGTTGCAGCAATTCATGAAGAGCTAAGTAACATGAGTGTAATCAGCTTCCCTCCTTGCAGCAGTAAAGAGGATTAAGCCTAGCAAGAGGCACATCCCACCTCACGACAGCACTGAGCTGGACCAGGATTATCCTCACAAAGCACATGGACACGTCTGTGAACAGTGGGAAGGCTGAAAGGTTACTGACTGGCTGCCCACGTGGCCATGCAGGACAGCAAAGGTTGAACAAGCCTTAGTTGTGTACCCTGGTCAACCCTGAGCTTGTCTAAGCAACCCCTTCTTTTAACTGGCACCATGACGAAAGCATCCCAGACACACTCCAGCCCACCTGCCCATCCCTTTGTGTCATCTGTATTTAAGCCTGGAACTAGATAAAGCCTGGAATCTTTAAGATCTCTTCCAATTCAAGATGTCTGTATTCCTATGAATATGGTCAAAACCAGTACACACTCCCTAACACCAGGCTGAAGAAAATAGCATTACATTCTCAAGGAAGAAGCTTGATTTACAGCAAGCCTCAGCCACACACTATGCTAGCAGTCACGTGTTTGAACACCAAGTGAAACACTGCTCCATACTTCATTACCCTGTTCCCAGGAAACAAAAGGCATTCAAAGACAGGCTCTTTATAAGTCAGAAAAGTTTCTTACCGGTCATAGTCATCAGGGTCAAGTGGCTGGTAGCTGGCTTGGTAACAATTGATTCTCTTCATGAAGTCCTCCATGGCGTCGGTTGAATTACAGTCCCGGTAATCAGGACTGGACAGTTTCACTTCCTACAACAGGGGAGACAAACACACCAAAAGGAGAGGTTAGAAAGCAGGCAGAACAGGCTGCTGCCCCACCTGGGGCATCAGGCACAGTAGGGCTCAGATAGCCAGACCATGCTAATCTCAAAATCCTGTCATGACCCAGCTGTTGGCTGAGCTATTTTACATCCATCACTTATTACAAGATAGAAGTGAACGAGACTCAAAGTTAAGCACAAGGAAAACTGATTTGCTATAAACCACTGCATGATTACACACTAGAATATGCTAGAAGTGGACTAGGAGAACTCACAGGGACTAAGTTCTGTCTAACTTGCTTTAATACGATGTCTTTCCTGGAGATTTGGGTTTGAGCAGAAGTGCTACACATCAGTTAACTTCCCAACCAATCCTGAAACCAAAGGGATAACATCACAAGGCAGCAGCTCTCAGCATGTACAAATGCCCCTAGACTGGTGCTTGATGTGAAGCCAGTCCTGGGGGCAGGGCAAATGCCCATGAAAACCCCCTCATAGACTCTGGATATCCCGTGACACATTCCCAGACACTGTAAAACAATTCTCAAAAGGCAGACTGGAGATAAGGCTGGAGCATAGCCCTAGGGGGGGAAAGGACGCTTCCATTGAAGTTAATCATGCCCAGGTAGGCCAATTAGCATCTACTCACCCTAGCCAAGCCTAACGGGCAAAAGCTCATTTCTGCTGAAGAGAAATCAAAGATCCAGTAGCTCCCAAAGGAGCTGATAAGCAATGTTTTATGTGACTCCCCCATTCAAGATGTCAGCTAGTGGCAGGAAGCCTCTAAACTGAGCTGTTATTCCCCTCAAAACAGACCTTAACAGATACTGTGAAGCTGGATGTGGCTGAAGTCACCAAATCTAACTGGAATTTAAACCACACCCACCAAGCAATCTGATGGGATATAAGCCCTTAACCACACCTATCACTTCAAAAGGGAGTTTAGGGTCACTAAGTTACCCTAAATACTTTATACACCTCTCCTTGATACCATCAGACATCTACAGAATTGCAAGAGCTCCTTTCTCATTCCAGGACAAATATATCATAAAAAGACAAAGAACTCCTAACCCTCAGGTGAGTCTGGCAAGATGTCTTTTGAAAAGAAACCAATTGGACACAGGTGAAAAATCCTACACAAGAAAAAACAAAAGCAAGTGGCTCTCACTCTTACCATGACATTGGTGGCAACAACATTGGGATCATTGCAGACAGATTCGATGAAGAACACCTGCAAAACACAGCAAAGCTCAGCTGAAAGCCAGCAGTAAGGTTTGGAACACTCAGCCAGCTCTTGCTCAACTCAGACTTCCTCCCTGCTTCACCCAAGGAGCATTCCCTCCACCTCACTTCTATCCTTTCAATCCCCAGGACTCAGGACCAGGAAAGGTCTCCCATTCCAGCAACAAAATCCCCCTTACAACAGAGCATCATGAGGATAACGCATCAGTGATCAACTACACATTATGAGTAATAAATAATGTAACGTGTTCTACACAACATGGGCAGCAGCAGAACGGTACCAACCTTGAACCCATTTTCTTTGGCAAAATTTAGGATCATCCCTCTCCTCTCCCGTGTGGTATTTGTGGCATCAAAAACCTTTAAAAACAAAAGCTCTGGTTAGCACAAGGATGCCTGGTTTCTCACCGAGCCCTTCTTCAATCTAAGTAATCTAGGTGGAACAGTGGATATTTTATAAAAGCTGAGCTCACTCTAGCCACACACTTTTCTCTCTCATTGAGGGCATTTTATAACATCCTTCCCCCGTCTGCTTAATTTCAGGGAGCGTTTAGGAACCTTCTCCCAATCTCTGAGCATATGGCCTCTTTTCCTGCAAGTGACACTGCCCTGAGCTGCACAGGGCTCAGCACTTTCAGGATTAGTGCCAAGCACCACAGAGGGCATCTCTTACCGCAATCTGGCCAGCCTCCTCCGTCAGGTACAGCTTGACATCCCTCAGGGCAGCCAGAGCACACTGCCTGCAAAAGAGACCAGAGCCATGCATTTAAACACCAGTTAAAATTAAGTATTTTACACTTTGTAGATAGCTGAGCAATAGCATGGAAGGATACTTTGCATGATCTCCTGTCCATGCACTTTTGCATGCTTCTTCTGTGCAGGAAGAGAGCAGGGACTGAATGCCAGCACCATATCCTCCTCATTTCCTCAGAGCTTTCACTGCAGCCTCTTAACTTTTTTTTTTTAATGATGTTCTACAAGATGCTTATGTTAAATAGCACACAGATCCCTGCTAAGAAGGTGAGTGAGGGAGGCCCCAAATCTACATTCTTCCCTCCCAGGCAACACCCTCAGCCTACTGAAAAATCAAGCTGCTCTGCAGCTTGCAGATGAAGAAGCAAAGGGCAAACACCACTGCAGAGCTCATGCTGTCCGTCATTGAGCCTGGTGGTGATCTCAGGATACCAGTGATGTAGGGATGCACTGGCAATCCTGACCTACCAAGTCCCAACAGCTTCAATTTGTGTCTCTAGAGCAGGGAAATTTCAAGATCCAGCCCATCCCTTCTGTCCATCACCCCAAAATCATAGAGTAACTCCAGTGTGAGCTTCACAATCCATCTGGGACACCAACAGCAGACAGGACACATGCTCACCTCCTGACTTTCATAGCCTCTTCGTTGTCAGGGCGAAAGAAGTCATAGGAGCTGTAATGCTTCACTGCCTCACGGCGATACTCCCCCACATTGAAAACTGCAGGAGAAAGGTAAAAAACATCAAAACCAGAAGAACACATCAAATCAGCATGTAGCTCCCAGGAATAACCACTTTTTAGCAACAGACTGAGAAAAGACGTCTTTAGAGTAAAAGACTCTAAAAGGCTCAGGGTATCTCTGTTTCAAAGGAATGGGGAAAATGGGACCCATCCCCATGTGGGACAGTGTCCCACCAGCAGTACAACTGAGGTCCTGTAGCACTTTCTAAGGACTAAAGCTGGTCCTTTTCCCAGCAGCCTGTGAACATCTCACCTTTTGTTGGGACACCAATCCAGTTGAGATAGCGGGTCAGCTTCTTGGAGATGTAAGTCTTCCCCCGGGCTGGGAGGCCAACCATCACTATCACAGTGGGAGAATTGGCAAGCTGTGGCCCACAGGCTATGAGAAAGAAGAGAAAGCAAAACAAGCAGCTGTTAAATCCACCAGCTCATCTTCCTTGTTGTTGAGCCAGGACCTCCTCCAGGTCCTTTTGAAGTTACAGGGAGACCAAAAAGCCTCTGCACCATCTCTCCTGCATCTTCCACCCATAAGCCTCAGTGACCAAAACCTTGAGCAGGGAAATCCATCCACTCAGTTTCAGAATGGAATCTGCTGAATGAGCACATCAGAGCTGGAGCATATGGCTCTATGAGCCACAAGTGAGACAAGTGCCCCAGTTCAGCCACGCTGACCCAATTCAGACCCAACAGGACAAAGGAGAACATCTTGATGGCTGTGGAGGTACAGTTGGCTTCCCAAAGCATCTTGCAGGATCCTCTGTGCCTCTGCTTTCCCATTAAGAGGAGCATAACCCCTCATCCCTATGATTGGCTGATCTTAGGAAAATCAAGAGGATGGCCCTAATTTGATTAGAACCATCAGCATATAAAAGCAGATACATGCAAATGATTTATCTCTTTCTCCTAAACCTAAGCTGGTTACTTTTTGTTATAAAGAGGATCCTGTATCAAACGAGTGGAAATAAACCCAGACTGATGACTGGAAAGTTGAAGATGACTCCAATTCAATAAGACTGCATGACCAAAACGCAGACAGAATGGTGACAACGGTACCCAGGAGACTCACTTTTCTCCATAAATCCTCTGGAAAGTAAATTCTGGGGCAATGGATTGGTTCTTAGGAAAGCACACATGGCAGCAGCTCACTGCCCTCCCAAGTCACTGATGTTCACATGGCTCTACACATCAGGAGACCAAGGCAGCAAGCCAAGCGCTTTACAGGCAGGAAGGGAAGATCTTAACGATGCCTAATGGAATTTGGATTAGGCAGGCACCTTTCATACCACTCAGCATCACGTGTTGAGCCCTCCCAGCAAGGAGCAAGCCCCTCCAACGGGATTTCTCATCCACCCTTCAATCCTGGAAACCTCATGGGAAAGGAATGCGGGGAGTGAATGGCTGATGGCAGAGCCATAAAAATGTGCCTTAATTATGGGCTGTGAGCTGAGCTGCTTGCCTCGCTATGGGGCAGGTGGGATGCCGGGATGCAACACAATTGGTGGCTGCCAGAGGATGGAGGCAGCGCGGAGGGATTGGTCTCAGGGATGGGCAAACAAACCAAGAGGTATGCAGAGAGTATGCGAAACATGTGGCATTTCCCTTCCAACAAACAAACAAAAAAATCCTACAGCCAAATTAAAGCCACACGTTCAAATGCCAGAACTGCAAAGAGCCACTCATCATCTGCTTGGCTGTCTCAACAAAGCATGAGATGAGAAAAACTATCAAAAGGTGGGGTTTCTCCCTCTCCCCCACCCTCTTTAAGTATTCTGTGTTCCTTAGGACAGTGCACCGGGTCCCTTTGTGCAACCTGTCCCCTTGGGTGCCACGTTTCAAAAGCCCAGGGCAGCTCCCACTGATCAGCAGGCACTGATTTTGCACACTGGGGTACCCAGGGGGCTGCAGGCATCCAAAGGAAAAGGGCTTTTGCTCTCTGAGTGTGGAAGTACAGACAGAGAAAACGTGTCTCATGTGCTCTAACAACTTGAGAGGGAAAGGAAAAGAATTACACCTGAATAAACCAGCTCCTCCTTTCTCTAACTGCTAGCAGACATAAGATATTAAAGAATAGAGCCACAACGTTTTGAGCAATTAAAATAATGGTGCTTAATGAGGGACAGGGACAATGCAGGGTACTGTTCGTGTAACCTTCAGCTCCAAATAGAACTGAGGCAGCCACAGAGCTCCTGCCTGCATGGGGGCAACAAAACCAAAGAGAACAGTTGAAGGAATCTCTCCCCAGATCAGTTTGCTATCAAACAGAAGACCCAAGTTCCCCCATGCTGTGAAAAAGGACCTGGTTAGGAACCTAGAAACACTTCCCAGAGGTCATTGGTGGGCTCAGCACATGCACCTACTTATCAGGAATTTGAGCCCAAATCCAGCAAAATCACAAAAGCCAGCCCTGAGCTCTAGGAAACTTTGCAGCAGGGATGAAACAGAACCCATGTTTTGCTCCCAGTGCTTCACAAAGACCCAATTCATCATTCCTTTTCACCACGCTGGAAAGCTATCAGGGTTTTCAATGCATATTCATTACTCATTATGGACAGCAGTCCAGGTAAGCCAAGGTCAGGGATGACTTTCAAAAGGCTCCAGCAGCGTATTTCATTGAACGGCTTTGGTCAGAAGGGACCTTAAAGCCCACCCAGTTCCAACCCCACTGCCATGGGCTGCTGCCACTCACCAGATCAGGCTGCCCAGGGCCCCATCCAACCTGGTATAAAGAACCTCCATGGATGGAGCACACACAACTTCTTCGGTCAACCCATCCCAGTGCCTCACAATCCTCTGAGCAAAGAATTTCTTCTGAACATCTGACCTAAATTTCTTCATTTTTAGTTAAAACTATTTCCCCTTATCCTGTCACTATTAGATCATGCTTCCCTTCCTGCTTATAACTTTTTTTCCAGTACTGGAAGGCCACAACAAGGTCTCCCCAGAGCCTTCTCCAAGCTCAACAAGCGCAACTGCTCCAACCTATAAGAAAATATCAAAGGGCCTTGTGCCTGGGAGCTGCTGAGAGCTCGCTGGAGTGCAGAAGGAAAAAGAATTATTAAAAATAAAAAAAAAGGGAAATTTTCCTCTATAAATGGTCAAATAAAAAAGAGCCACCTCCCAAGTCCATGTGCTTTTACTGCCTCTTTGTAGGCAGCGCTCCCATGCGCCTCCCCCTCCCAAAAAAACCCACTCCGCATCTTCCACACCACTCAAATTCCCTTTTTTCCAGCTGTTTTCCTATTCCATTCTTCTGACACCTCCAAGGGATGCCTTCCTACACCACACATCACCGCCAGGAGCCCACAGAACCCACACCCATGCAATCTCTCCGCATCCCACGTGCGGAGCCATGCGATGAACTGAGGCCCTCTGCCTTCTCTCCCCTCTGCATCCCCCTGCCCGGCCCCTTCCCAGCCCCTACGTGAGCGACGTGCAGCCGGACCCCCATTGAATGGATCGCAGTCAGAGGGCCGGATGAAGGCATCGCCGCATCCATTCGAGCTGCCATGCAGACGGGAACAATCGGGCCAATTATTCCACGCGCAGAGCATCCACTCGCCGGTTTCTCGTCGATGCTCTGCGAGTTCCTCCTGCTTTTCCCCCCACCGCGACCGCAGCAGCCTCACATCGAGCCTTTGTGTCCCCATTCTTTGTTACCGCCGAGGAATGGAAGCTGCCTATGGGAAACCGCTCGTTTCCAAAAGCCCAGTGGGGCTCTTTCCATAGATCGCAATGAACGATGCCTAAGCGGGGCTCGTTTCCACCCCAAAAGAAAAATAATTAGAAGCCAAGTTCATGACGAACCGCTTAATATCTTACGACGCTAAGAAAACTCTGCCCTATCAGAAACCAGCAAAAAAAAAACAAAACAAAACAAAACCAAACCAAAACAACTTAGGAATTTCTTTCAGAGGTGTCAGCCCTTGAGAAAAATCACATCACCGCACTCCAGCTGCAAAGCATTACACCATTCCCACCCCACTCCCCCCCACACACACCACCGGTCCCACTAAAAGCAAAGCCCCGCGGCAATCCAGATGTTGCAGAGCCGCTCCCACAGATGCGCACGGGCCACAGCATCCCTCACGGCACAGCCACGGGGCAACCGCCGTGCAAATGAATGCCGCTCACAATCTGTTGCTTTGTTTTCCTTCAAACGGGCCAACTTTTCCAGCCAAGCGAAACGCAAAGCGGCTCAAAGAAAAACCATCGGAAACATTGATTCACCCAACTTCTTCCATCCTCCTCCAGGGCTGCAAAGTGCCACCTCTACTCTCTCCCTCCCCTCCCCCCTTCCTCCCCCCCCCGAGGCCCTATGGATTCCCACAGTCGCCCATTGGGGAATCCCACGGAGCTGCCCTAGCGGCAGCTGTCAGCTGAGGGCGAGCAAAGAGCCGTGCTTGCTATCTATGCCACAGAGGCACCCACGCGTTCGCTTTTATTTATGAAAATAAATATTCTATTTTACTCTAAGCACGGAGTTCATTTCTGAACGGCCACATCCATTCCGAGCTTTGGTGCAAGGCTCGGAAATGCTATTTTATGCCCACCCCCAACATCAGTGCAAGACTTAAAAAAGATTAACCTCCCTGCCCTCCTCCAATCCTCCTATCTCACCCCTTAGCACAGCACGGAGACGAACAAACCTCATTTTTCTAAACCCGCTGTTCTAACCTCCCCCCCTACAGGCTTTGAATTCATTTCTAAGGCTCGGAGTTGATCACCAGCTATCCAAAGAAAAATCAAACCTCACACATGGCATATATGGAGCAGCGCGAATATCCTAGCAGATTTAAACAAGGAGCCCATCTTAGCGACCTGCCCCGTAGCCTTATAATCCCATCGGCATTACGGGGCGGAGAAAGAAGGGAATGAGGCCACACGCATCCCGGAGCGCTGTGCCTTCCTCCGACCGCCGGGGCTGGAAATGAATCACGGGTCGGCGGAGAGCGGAGGCAGGGTCATATCGCATCGCATGGGTAACACACACAGCACAGCGCACGCCGCGTTATAAGGCACAGATGACAGAGACACTGAATACCGCATGTGAATATAAAAGGGGATGTGCCGACATTGCGAGGGCTCGCCTCAGCTTGCAGCATCGCGCAGGACGGATGCGGGGCTGCTCCCATCCCATCGCTGCGATGCTACGACCACCCCCCAGCACCACCACCCCCATCCCCGTGCCCGTACTCACAGCGGCGGGGCAGCGCCGGGTGGTTGTCATTGGGCAGCCAGATCTTCTGGATGCGGCTCTGCGTCAGCTCCATGGGCATGGTTAAAACAAAGGTCTTTTTGCGCTGCTCCGCGGCCACCTTGGGGCGTTTGTACGGGGTGGGAAGGGAGAAAAAAAATGGAAAGGGAGAGGGGAAAAAAAAAAAAAAAAACGGAGGGGAAAGAGGTAAAATAAAAACGATTCGCTGCTTGGAGGATGAAGGGATGGGGGTGCGGGCACTGCGCGGTCACCGCGTGCACAGGAGGACGAAGCGCTGATCTTAACAACAAAACGCAAAATAATAAGTACAATAAATTAAAAAGACAGATTTTTCTCTTTCCGCTTTCAAGTCAAACCCTTCCAGCCGACTGCAGCAGCAGGAAAGGGGTCGGAAGGAACACCGAGCAGCAGCAGCACCGCTTCTCTCCCTTCCTCGCACTGAAGCCGGCGAGGCTCCGGCGCCGCCTATTTGTAGCCCGGGGGGGAACCGGCAGCGGCTCCACGCCCCCGGGGGCGGGACGCGGGGGGGGGAGCGGCGATGCGCCGCTGCGGAGGGCGGAGCGGAGCGGAGCTGCCGCCTGGTGAGCATCCACAGCACTGCAGCGCGGACAAAGGCGGTGCCCCCCCGGCGGGCTTTGTTCGGGGGCTGGGTGGGGTGCAGGTGGTGGGGAGGGATGGGAGAGAAGAGTGAAGGTGGGGGTGTCGGAATGAAAGAGTGGAAGCGGGACGTGAAGAGAGAGGAAGGAAAAATGTGGACGAGGAAAGTAAAAGCTGAAACGGAATGGCAGTAAGGCAAAGGAAAAAAAAAAAAAAGCAGGAAAGAATGTGATGAAGCAGAAGTGAAATGCAAATGAATAAAGCGGAGATAAAGTGCAAATAAAGGGTAGGAGTTGAACTGAAAAGCTGAAATAAAATGCAACGAGGTAAAGCGGGACTCTAAATAAGGCAGGTGAATGCAAAGAAAAAAAAGGCAAAAAAAAAAAACCAACAGGCAGAGAATGAGGGGGAAAAAGGCAGAGAAATTGCACACACACAAAAAAAAGAAGAAAAATGAAGAAAGGAAGAAAAGAAAGGAAGAAAATGAAAAAATAAAGCAGAAATAAAATGTAAAAAAAAAAGCAGGAATTAAATGTAAAGCAGAAATAAAATGCAAATAAAGGAGAAAAATGCAAATAAATCAAGCGACAGAAGAAAATGACGAAATGAAGCAGAAATAAAATGCAAATAAAGCAGAAGTGAAAAGTAAAAAATAAAAATAAAAAAAAAAAGCCCTAGAGAAATAAAAATTAAAACGTGAAATAGAGCAAAGCTAAAAAGAAAGAGGGGAAAAAAAAAAAAAAAGAGTGAAGCAGAAATTGAATTAAAAAAAAATTATAAAGCGAAAGAAACGCGTTGCGAATAACGTAAGGCGGAACGGAAGGACGGGACGCGCAAAGGCGCGCTGCGGTGCGCGCATCCCGCGCGGGGGGGGCGGCGGCCGGCGGGGCTGAGGGCGCCGCACGTCGCTCACGTCGCACATGGCTGAGCCGGGCAGAGCCGCCGCCTCCTCCCCCCGCGGGGATCCCCGCGCCGCTCCGCCTCTTCCCGCCCCGCTCCGCGCAGCGCTGGCGGCCCCGGAATGAAGGAGAGAGGGGCGGTGCGTTCTGCGCTGCGTTCTTTAGTACGCGATGCATCCCCGCGTCTTTACGGTTAACCTGCGTGGGCACGGCTTGAGCTGTCCGCTTTAAGGGAATACCGTGTCAGGCTGTGTTAGCAACTCGAAGAAATGTTCTTTCCCCTCTCCTCTCCCACTGCAATAATTAAATTAAATTGCAGCCACCGTGCAATGAGGGGGACCTAAGAGGGGTTCTGGGTGGCCAGTGTATAAACCTAATGGCTGAAAATGCCACGTGTCTGCTTTTATAGGTGTTAACAATGCAAATATTGCGTGGAGATTAAAATGCCAAGAAGTAGCATCTGGGGTTCTATCCTATTCTGGATATATATTCAGGTTGCCCAAGGATGTTGTGGATGCCCCATCCCTGGAGGCATTCAAGGCCAGGTTGGATGTGGCTCTGGGCAGCCTGGTTTGGTGGTTGGTGACCCTGCACATAGCAGAGGGGGGTGAAACTGAGTGATCATTGTGGTCCTTTTCAACCCAGACCATTCTATGATTCTATTATATATATATATATATAATCCTCTCTTTATATTCTTCTCTATATAATGCTCTATGTTATTCTATATACCCATTATATTTTTCATCCTCTCTATATATCCCTTTCTATATAATCCCCTGTATTATTCTATATATACCAGATATCGTGCTCTTTCCCTCCTCTCTATATATAATCCTCTATATTATTCTATATATATAGCATTCGACATTATTATGTTTTCCTCCTCTAGAAGCAAAGCTAGTGTATATTTTTGTAACCAACCCAGAAGGAATATATTTTTAGCTGCCTCCCTATATGGAACTAAGATGGATGGGGCAAAACAACACAGGGTGCCTCCCCCTGCTATTCAGAGGCAAAAAGAGGGAGGTGGGGGGGGGAAAGCTGCTGTGAGGGAACTGGAGAGGATGCTGAGATTTGGGATGTGGGAAGGTATGAAGGTGGGGATGGCGGAGTGGCTTTTCACAGCTGGTCCTAAAATCACCACCTTGGGAACATTGAGAGGAGTGGGAGGAGAGCAAACCTCCGCCTGAGCGAAAATCACCGTCGCTTCAAATTAGATCCACCTTGTAATTCTTGGCTAAAGACAGTCGGATAACTGGAGCGGAAAGCCAGACCATCCTTAAACTCCTAAATAAGTGGCCTGGTTTTCAAAGGCATGAGCAGCCAGCTGCTGCCAGGGAGGTCAGCTGGAAGGAGCATCATTACTATTTATAAGGCAAGCTGATTTGTAAGGGTGGGGCAGCACGAGATGTGTGGGGAGGTGTAAAAAGGGAATGGCTTGAGATGTGCAGGTGCAAGATGGGCTGCAATGACCTTGAAGGGTCCACAGGCAGTGGGGGTGGAGGTGGGAGTGTGAAATCCCAATTCCATGAGAGCAAAACCTAAGGTGATTATAGGTTGTTAGCATCTCTGCTGCCACAAGCCCAAACTCCTCCATTCCCTGCTTTGTGTCCCTGCTGATTGAGCAGCTCATCCCAAACGTGATGTGACCCAAAATCAAAACCTCAAGTCCCCATCCCTTTAGGGATGGCAGCTAGCCAACCTGGCATTTCTCCCATGCCATCAAAATGCAGGGAACGGCAGCCCCAACTCTGACTAAGTGTGATTCATCACCCTTTCCCTTTCTTTTCTTTTCTTTTTCTTTTTCCCTTTAATGGAAACTTGAAAGGAAAGTGTGAGAGCTATTCATGCCTACGCTCAGTGCAACACATCTATTTGTGATGTGGCACCGAGGTGATGGGGAGCAGTTTGTGTGATGCTCAGGGGGTCCGGGAAGACAGATGGAATCATACAATCATTAAGGCTGGAAAACACCACTAAGATCATCTCATCCAACCATCAAATGGAGTTCCATCAGATGGAGATACCCATGAAGTTGCAAATCCCAATATCCAACCTGATCCTATGATTCTATCATTCTGCACGGTTAAAATTTGGAGATGGTGGGTCAGAGTTGGGCTGCTGTCACTGTAAGGATGCAGCTCTGTATGAGCTCAACAGCAATTCCCAGCGTGGCCTCAGTTTACCAATCTGTGAATTGGGCACAGTTCTCTCTGATTGCAAAATTCAACCAGCAGCTGCCCAAAACATTGCCATTGCCCTAAAGACACCACGTTGCAACAGAGCAAATTACTCATCTGGGATAGCAGAGGGCCATTTATAAACAAGAGTTGAAAACAAACTCTTTCGTTTCCAAAAAATGTCAGCAGGACCTTGGAGGAACCAAGAAAATTGTGTTTGCAATGTACTGGGGAAATGGGGGCTTTCATGAAGGCAGAGATCAAGAGGCTGTGTCCTCCACTTGCTGCTGGCAGTGCTTTTTGGGGGGGATCCTGCAAGCATTTGCAAAAGGCAAGCAGAGTGGAAGGGTTTGCACTGGAACATCGCGTGCTTGGAGCTGAGCTCCAGTCTCCCAGCCCCATGCAAACACCCAACGAACCCATTCCCCCATCCAGGGACAGGCTGTCCAGGTTTTAACCTATTGCACTCTGCAATTGAACCTGGTGTGCTAAGGGAATGTCATCCTTCCCCAACAGTAAGCAATCTCCAAGCATTGAAATACACCAAGCAAATGCTCCAGGCTGCCCAGCGCACATCCGCTGCTGCAAGCGGTGGCTTTTCTTAAAATAGCTGCAAGCAGAGAAGGGAAGATAATTCACACGGGTTCAGACTTGAGGAACAAGCACTGATATCGAGGGGGGGGGGAAATCCCCACACAGGAACAACGCATTGCCCAACCCCAGTGTACCAACACCATCTCAGCTCTGTGCTGGGAGCTGCTCTTACCATGGAGCTGCAAAGATAGAATCATAGAATCATGGAATGGCTTGGGAAGCTGCAACCCTCCCGCCACAGGCAGGGCCACCAACCTCCACATTTCATACCAGCCCAGGCTGCCCAGGGCCCCATCCAGTCTGGCCTTGAACACCTCCAGGGATGGACGGGCATCCACAACCTCTCTGGGCAGCTGTTCCAGCACCTCACCACTCTTGTAGTAAAGAACTTCCCCCTGACATCCAACCTAAATCTTCCCTCCTTCAACTTAAAACCATTTAAAACGAAATACAGCTTTTAGCAGTGACCAAGCAACAAGTGGCAAAAAAAAAATAAATCATGTGAGCTCACAATTGTGCATGTGAGCTCTCTAGCAGCAATAGGTGCAGGAAAAAAAAAAAAAGAAAAAAAAAAAAGAAAACTCACATCAGTGCCTTGCAGCAAAAGTGATACGCCCTAAAGCTTTCTTTAAATGCTTTTTTGGGCTGTATTGAACAAGTGTTTCTGGTTGCTTCTGCTCAGCTCCTGCTCTGAGCCCTCCTGAGTGCAGTTGTCATTGCACTGGGTGCGATGCAGAAACTATTTCAGGACAGTAAATTCTGCCTGAAGTCAACCCTCCGTCTTGGAGGGCTTTTTTTGTTTTATTTCTCTTTTTCAGACAAAAGGATGAGGGTTCAAACCTAGTTAGGACCTGGTTTACAGCAAAGGGCTTTGCAAAGGGAGGACAGCGGTGCTGTGGGTGGGGTGCTGGTGGTAACTGGGTGAGTTAAAGACAGATAGTTTGGGAAATGGGAGTTGCAAACACATTGCCTGACCACGATGAATGTGTGGGAAGGATGAGAGCCTGGTTTAAACCCAGTTCCCCAAGCTAGAAGCAAAATCCTCAGGGATCCTTCTGTGACGGGGGTGACAGGTCCCTGGGAAGTCCTCATAGGGCCAGATGAGGGTGTGAGATGGACTGCAAAGGAGCCCTTTACCCCGATGTTCCTGCTTAAAATCTCAGGGATGACATTTAATTCATGGATCCATCTTGCCTAAACCAAAGAATCAGATACAACCGCAACTCTTCTTCCAAGCTACTATAATGTTTTTCCATTGGAAAGCACCAGGAGGAGGTCCCTATGGCTCACCTATGAGAGCACCCCGTGGGGCACTAACTGAGGTGAGAAAAGTTACAGTCTGAACCTCTCCTGTAATTCTCAAGAAAGAAAACTAAGTTGAACATAACATTCTGAACCTGCAATGTCTACCAGAGCGGGAACATTTCTCAACGCTGCCTGAAAGTCTGCTCAGAAATGGGTCCGAGAGGTTTGAGCAATGTCCTGTGAAAGTTCCTGACCTCACAAGGCAAGAGCAAAACAGATCTCACCCCATAAACTGCTAAATCAGACAGATAGCTGACTCCCTGGGCTGCAGAGACAGACACAGGGTTTTTAAATGGTTAGAGGGCAATTGCATGGCAAGCAGTTGGGAATATTCCAGTCTTGGGAATCTGATATTGTTTCTTCTTGGCATGAAATGTGTCTGTAGAACTTCAGGCTTGGTCCCAACAGAATGGGTCAAAGGGTGCAGATACGCCAAAGCCAAACTCTAGGTGGTGGCACTGCCACTGACTCCACGATATTCGTGTTAGCCTGGCACTGGGCTGCACCTCCTCCTCCCAGGGACTTCCAGTTATATCAAACCAACATCTCCCACTCTGTCCCCATACTTTTTTCAATGGGAAATCCCTCACTGAAGCCCTGGGGTTGATTTAGTGTGTGATGCCACAAGATGGTACACCTGACTTCAGGTGACCTGGTCCCTTACCAAGATGCCACAGTCCCCTCAGAGAAAGCATCCAAGACGAAATCCTGCTAGTTGGAAAGAAAAGTGTTTACACTATTACTGTATCCCAAGTGAGCCAGATCAGACAGCACCTGCCCTGCTGCCAGCATAACCCTGCCATATGCTGCCACAGTGCCTTCTCCAGGCACATCAGCAGAAATGGATCACACCACATCCACACCTAATCCTAAGTGATAAAGCAAATCAAAGATCCAGCCATAATCCCACTCTTTTGGGGCAGGTTGTGTTAATTAGGAGCTTAATTGCCAGCCCAGTAGTGCATATGGGATGCAGCCCTCCAGGTGCATAGGGAACACCCTACAGAGCAGCCCATTCAACTCATTTAAAGCACAAGATGGTCACCCTCCGGAAATCACAGCCTCTCATTATCCTGTGGACTCTGCTATCGAATTATTTCCTAACATCTTATTTGCACCTGCCTTTCATTAAGAGCCTGGATCGTTATCTCATCATTGCAGATTATTAAATCCAACAATGGCAAAGGCTGTGGCCTTTCATTCTGGGACTGACTCACCTTGTGATGTAACACGGACAACCTCAGCATCACTATGGCAACCACTGGGCTTCTCAAAGAGTACTGATGTCATGAAGCCAGATGCTGGGGGACGGTGTGTGGAATCTCTCAAAGAAGTGGGAGAAACTACAACACAGTCACAGAACTGCAAATATTAAAAGTTAGCCCCAGGGCAGCTGGGGTTAGGGAGAAAGGAGACAGGAGGTAAATTGAGTGGTTGCCGTTCCTGAAGCTTGAGGAGCTACTCGTAGGTGCAGATTAATTGCAGCCTGGGTAAAAGGATGTTCTTTTAATCTCTGCCATCAACCCCTGCTGATATCAGTATGGGTCCCAGTGTTAGTTCTTTTATCAGCAGGTGATAAAACACCATTCTACTGATATAGGTTGGTTTGTTTACTATCAGGTAACATCCCAGGAGGATCTGCTCCCTTTGGAGCATGGCTTCTGCCCACACCCACTGTATTTGGGAAGGATTTATGTCATTTGGGTGGCTACAAGAATCTGGATACCTTTGTCCATTTCTACCTCCCATGGAAAGAAACGGACAGTCCCAGAGCAATTCACTTGCCCTGTTGCGGATATTGGCTGTAAATCAAGCCAAGCTGTGTCCTGGGGGTGTCTGCAGCCCGTGAGCGTGGAGGTAGATATTAGTGCTGTCTACAGCTATCAGATGCAAAGCTTGGTGGGCTCTAGAAACACAATTCCTCATTCCTCAAGGCACAATTCACACAGGGAGTCAGGAAGAAGCTTTGATGAGGAGCTGCATTTCGAAACTGCGTACGTGCTGGTGATCTTTCCACACCCTTGTGAGCACATCTGCCATATCGACAACTCGCTCATCCCTGCTTCCTTGCAGAGCTGGAGTGATACAGGTGATTGTTTCCCAACAGCATCCCACATATCTCAGCTCCAAAAGCCATGATTGGGACCAACACCACTGCTTGGGTTGAGCTGTTCCTTGGGTCAGCCTCTCTAAAGGTTCACCTCTCCGTTTGACTGATGGAAATCACAAGCCATCAAGAAGCAAGGAGCTTTCAGTGTCCCACTTTTGCTTTTAAACCTGAGACCTACAGGGACTGCTTTTAGGACATCTGTGAAAACCTAGGAGGCAGTATGGTCAATAGGTTGAAAGTCAGACTAAGAAAATCCACAGCTACACTGAAAAAATGTCCAAGAACCGGCCAGCTGAAAGGCCACTGTGAAATGGCAAAGATTTCTGAATCCTCTGAACCAAGAACAGAAATAATCAAGAGATGAAAAACTCTGGTTGAGGACCTGCTCATCACACAATGGACAACTGAATTTTGCTTTTTCCTTCATTGACATTTTCCAATCAGACACGAAAAATATTTATCTGGAATTCTGGGACAAGCTGAAATAATATGCTGCCAAACATATTTTCTCAAATATATTTATGTTTTTGTTCTTTTCCTCACAACTACAAGCTGTTAACAAATTCGAAGGAAAAAGTCAGAAGCACATTGGCTATTCTATTGACCATGAGTTGTCCCTGCTAAATATGATGGAAAAGGGTGGAAAATGCATTCTCATTATAACTGCTTCAATATTTCTGGTCACATTACCCATCAGGAGCCCAGAGCAAAACTCCTTTCCTTAAGGAGGCTGCAATTCTACCTTCCTCCTCCTCAAAACCCAAGCGAATGACTATAGGAGATATGTGTTTATCTCACATGTTCATCCACAACGTGTGAGTGAGCCCAGCATGTCTCCATTTGAGCCTTCAGAGACAGGAAGGTCAGAGCAAGGGTTTCACATTTCCCAGCCCGGCTGTTTACTCAGTGTTCAGGAGGCATTAAAACAACTGCTAGAGCACAGCCTGAGTCAACACAAGCTCCGACAGCCGCCCAGGCAGACTCTCCTGCCAACTTCCCAATAAAGAAAGGGAACGGTGCTCAGGCTGAAGGCACAACCTTCCTTTGCTTCCTGTCATGCTTTTGTCGCCTGGGCTTGCATAACACAAAGTGTTGGGCCCTTGTGGATGCCCTGTAGATTGGACAGACCCTTGGGTTGCACAGACTCTTGGGTCAGACAGGCTTTTGGGTCAGACAGACTCTTGGGTTGCCCAGCCCATGCATTGAGTCAATGGGAACCCCAGTTTCCTGCACCCACGGGGATGCTGACACTCATGGAGCCCAGAGCATTTCTCACAGCTCCAGCTATGCAAGGTAAAGATAAAGGTTGTCGCTACTGAGGACCCCATCAGTGTGAGATGAAGGCAGCTAAAAAGACCTGAAAGCCCACCTCCATGCAGCCTACCAAACCCAGACAAGCATAGCTCCCTTGGTTGTGGAACACATGCTGGGTCACATGAGATAGCCTTCTGATGCTGCTTAAAAATCTGGTCCTTTTGCATTCAGAAAGACTCAAGTCATCGATGAGGAGGGGTGACTAAGTCCTGGCACTGGCGCACACCAGCCACATCCCACATTGCTTTGTTTTGTCTTGTTTGCTGTTAGCCACCGTGGCCATGGCACCAACCCAACCCCACGGCTGCAATCCACAGCCCAAACCAGAAAAGGTAATCACAGATTTTCCAAAATTCGGCACTGAGACAGGAAATCCCTACCTAGGAAAGGCCATTTTCCACCCACTGTCCTCTACCAAGGAGTTACGAAAACTGCTGTCATTGCAACAACAATTTGTTGAGCACTTTTTAAAGTTTTATAAAATCACATTCAGATTCATAACGCTGATGTGTTTGACTTGGGTTGGTTTCTGAGCAGCTAAGCTGCACCCAAAAATTACCAAAAAAAGAAATACAGCAGCAATTAGAGGCAATTTCATGCTTAAGAGAACCAAAGACTTTGCAGACCGTGCTTCCCTGTGCACGTGTTATTCCCAATTGCTGAAGTGGAAACCCATTGCCCACTTTTGGCAAAGAAACCTCAAAGAAACAAACAAACAAATCACTGCTGACAGGTGACTCTTCCGCCTCAACTCATCCTTCTCAGGGCACGGTTCTACAACACAGAGATTTCGGTGGCAAAGCTGCTTAAGAGTTCCTCTTCCCACCCCAAAGCCTTGTCCTTAGATGTCAACTGCATCCAGCATTCCAGCTGGGAAATTGACATAGATTGGAAATAACTAACAGCTTTTTTTTTTTTTTTTTTAGGAAAAAATTATTCTCAGAAAAAGTGGTGATGCATTGGCACAGGTTGCCCAGGGAAGTGGTCGAGTCAATGTCAATGGAGGTGTTCAAGAAAAGGGCAGATGTAGCACTGAGGGATGTGGTTAATGGCCATGGTGGGAATGGATCAACAGTTGGATGGATGATCTCAGTGGGTCTTTTCCAACCTTGATGATTCTGTGATCCCTCAGTGCTGGAGCTCCCTTGGGCTGTCAAAGCCCAAATCTCAGCCCCAGCCACATCCTGCTGCTCCCATTAGAAATCTTTTGCTAATCAGAGGGTTTTATAAGAAAATCATCGAGCAAGATTAAAACCAACAACTCAAATCTTTGCCATGGGCACGTTAGGGTCTCCTATTGGCATCAAGATTGGACGCTCATCTGGCTCATACCCTATAAAGGGACAAGTTTCCCCTAAATAAATATATATCAATGACTTAGGAGCTTTTATTCTCCACTGATGCAGCAGTGCCCATTTGTACTTTTAAGGGCAGAATAACTCAGTTTCCTGGGGCTGCTTGCAAACAAACACCCTGTACAGCAGTTTCTCCCTGTTGTTTACCAAACGGTCCTCAAGCTTTCCTAGAATTCCCTCCTAGGCAGAAGAAACCCAAGCACCAGCAGTTGCTGTTCATGCTCCCGTCGCGTGCTGGAAGCCGGAGAGACTCGAGGTTGGGAAGCAGAGGCAGCATTTCCTCCCAGCGCACACGCGAGTGGGGCGTGCACAACCCATGCAGCTCTGCAGGCTCACACGTGCTTGGGAGTGTTGCATTGGGCCGTCCCCCGCATGGCAGCGAGTTCTGCACGGCCAAAAAAAGAACGTGTAAACAAGTTTACCCTGCTGCCCTGCTAAAGTGCTCTCCCCGGGTCAGTTTGGGTAAGCCAGCTGCTAAGCGGAGTGCTCGGGGTTTTGGCTCAGGGAGGGGAATCAATCATTTTGACTGGAAGGGTTTGGAGTGTTAACCTGAGTCCTGCTGCAACCCTGCCCAAAATCATGGTGCTGAGGGTAGTGCCTCCTTTTTTCTGCAAATCCATGGCCTATTCCCCATCCCCAAAGCAGCTTTATTCCTACCCAGGTCATTTTGCAAGGAGAAGTTTGTCCACTTCACTCACACTCTGCATGCTGATCTCAAATAATCCAGTCTGGGGTTGGATGAACAAAGCTTTCCCTGATATCCAGCCCAAACCTCTCCAGGTGGGGTTTTAACCCCTTGCTGCTACCCAAAAGAGTAAAAGCTCTGTGTCACACTGCTGCAGGCACAGAGCAGAGATGCACACCAGGACGTCCCTGCCCTGGGACAGGGGACACAGTGCTGCATGCTCCAGCAGGGACAGGCTTGATGCAAAGAGCACTGGATCTGTAGATAAGATAAGATAAGATAAAGGATTTGGACTGCTGCCACACTGCTGTTGGAAAGGAGTTGGCAGCATGCCTGCAAGCACTGCTAGATGCATGTGATGCTGAGAAGCCAGGATTGCATGCATCTCCCAAAATGCACTGGAGATGTGCCAGGTTTCAGAGGGGGATTTCTCACCAGCTCGGTTGCCCTGTGTGTAACAATCACAATTTCCCTTTGGAGAAGCAGCATCTTAAAGGAAAAAAGGACTAGGAATTGAGGCTGAGAACCAAGCAGCTCATTGTGTGAGTGTACACGCACACATATGTGGCATGGAAATGGCACCCAGAACAGTGCTCTGACAGGGATGGGATGCAGCCAGACCCATGCACAGCATTAACCCTGGAGCAGAGCTACCAGCAGAACCCCCAGTGTTGTCCCATCAACCCTCCTGATGAAGCCCCACGTCACTGTGGGGCTGGGGACAGCCTGTCCGAGTACAGTAGCATTGCTGTAGGCACACAGTACAGTGCACAGGACTCACTGTCTCATGGTATCGAATTGCTGTCTTTGCAAGAAATAGCACAGGCTCGTTGCAGTCCTGTGTCTCTGCTCAGATCCTGAAGATCTCCAAAGAGCAGCTAAAGCCACAGCCACCAGCAGATTGCTGCACCCTCCCATGCCTCACTTTTCCCTGCCACAAGTCATATATCTGGTCATCCTCAGATGAGGATTGACATGCTGGGGAAAAAGGGGAAAAAAATCTCAGCATCCAAATATGAACCAATAGAATGATGTCCTTGGGGTAAAAAGAAAAAACAAAGTCATGAAAAAAGGAAGGAGGAAAAATACTGACAGGGAGGTGGCAGAGCCACCATGCCTGGAGGTGTTCAAGAAAAGGGCAGGCGTGGCACTGATGTGATGGACATGGTTGGTGGGCATGCTGGGCATGGGTTGATGATTGGCCTGGGTGATCTCAGAGGTCTTTTTCAACCTTAGTGATTCTATGATTCAGTTTGTGCTTTTGGGAAGAGGTTGAATCAGGGAGAGCAATACCAAGAAGATGTTTCCTAACTGGGATTTGTGGGAAAGCACAAAGAGAACAGGTTTGTGCTCTGGGAAGGAGAAATCTTAGAGGGAGAAGCATGGGAAGAGCTTTCAGATTGGAAAAAAAAAAAAAAAAAGTGTAATGAAGAAATTGTAACTATTCTCAATAGTGAGGAAGATTGAAGGTAGGTATGTGATAAGTTGCCCAGCTTCAGAGGAAAATATGGTGAAACATTCTCATGGGAGGACAAGGAGTTGGTTGGAGCTTGATGATGTTCCTTGAGGTCCCTTCCAATCCAAGCCATTCTATGATTCCATGAGTCCCCTTGAGGGAAATATTAGAGAAACTGAAAATTGCTCACCTGGGGACCATCTGTGATGGCCTTTTTTTCAGCCTTTCTGCTGCTAAAATGTGTCTGTGTTTTAAAAAAAGCCGGTAGCCCTACAGAGACCAGAGGCGGCTCTCGTGTGCGTGTGTGCACGCACGCAGCAGGCGAGCAGCAATCACGCCTTGCTGGCTGCTGGTTTTGAAATCCTCCCACGTTCTTCTGCTAAAAGCCCGTGGCCATCTGATTTTATGCAAACACCTCCAGAGCTTTGCCTTCGCAAGAAGGGATCTCAGCGGGTTCCTGTCGCGGGCGAAGATGCGGGGATGAAACTGTGAGCAGGGAGAAGATGTGAAGGAGGTGAAGGGTAGGATCTGGGAATCAGAAAGCCTCCAGAGGTTGTTTTTTTCTTATGGCAAGATGGATTTTTTTCATAACTGTGTTAGGATGTGGTGTGTTAGGATGGGGTTGGGCATGTCCAGGTAGGTTCTTCCTTCCTAGGGTGACCACTGAGATTGGTCTTCTCTAGGTAGACTGGGCTTCCCATGCTGGTGGCACAGGTAAAAAGCACTTAGATTGTGTTAACATCTGTTCATTGTGAAAATTAGGAAATACTTCTTCTCAGAAAGAGTGAAAAAGCAATGGAGCAAGCTGCACAGGGAGGTCATGGAGTCACTGTCCTTGAGGGTGTTCAGTAAGAGGGTAGATATGGCACTGAGGGATATGGTTTGTGGGCATGGTGGGGATGGGTTCATAGTTGGAATAGATTACCTTAGAAGTATTTTCCAACCTTAATGATTCTATGATTTTATGATTCTAAATATAGCAGAAGACAGTTTTCCATCCATGCAGGAGGAAGGCAGGAGACCAAGAGGAGAGTTTTTCCAACAGCCCCAGGTAGCTTGGTGGCTGCCTGGCCCTGGGAAGGCAGGCTGGAGGGATGCCCGTCTGCTCCCAGGTCAGGAGATAAAACAATGCTATCAGGAGCTCTGTCTTTACCTGGTTTCACAGAATCACAGAATCACAGAATGGCCAGGGTTGGAAGGGACCTCAAGGATCATTTATTTCCAACCCCCCTACCATATGCAGGGCCACCAACCTCCCCATTTAATACCAGACCAGGCTGCCCAGGGTCCCATCCAATCTGGCCTTGAACACCTCCAGGGATGGGGCATCCACAGTCTCTCTGGGCAGCTGTTCCAGCACCTCACCATTCTCATAGTAAATAACTTCCCCCTGACATCCAACCTAAATCTTCCTTCCCTCAACTTAAAACCATTTCCCCTTGTCCTGCTGTTATCTACCCTTTCAAAAAGTTGAAAATTCCCAGACTTGGGAAGTCTGAGAGGCTGTAAAAACCCATCTTTCCCAAACAGGTGGTTTCTGTGAGCTGGGTCCCCAAAAGCACCCATAACAATTCATAGCCTGTTGTAAGCCTCTTATCCCAATTTCAAGCAATTTCAATTGGGCTTTGCTGCTTGGCTTGCCCTGGTGGTGCTTACTATACAGCCCCATGAAAGCTGCACCAGCACCAGTAGGAACACAAGCACTGGGCATGGTGCATCCTTCAACACATTAAAAGCTCTTAACAAATGCTAGAAAAGGCTAAGGAAAGTGTAATGTCACAGTGGAGAGGTGATGCTCATTGAGTGCTTTCTTGGAGAGCAGGGATATATTAGGATGGGTGTGATTTTGGGGATGGACACCTGTGCATTTGAGTTGTTTTGCCCAAGGGGCTGAAGTGAAACTAAGAGCCACAAGGAGCACACTCTGTTGAGAAGCACAGGCCATTGGGAAAGAGGGACCCAAGGGAGTTTCCAGTCTTCCAGGAAAGGTGATTGATGAAAACAAGGTGACGTTTTAATTAAAGCACGAACCAGTGAGTCAGAAAAGCTGGAGAAAGCTCGGCCACACATTTCCT